ATTTGCTTCTTCTCTAGTGTCCAAACAAAAAAAAAAAAATCAGCCATACAAAAATCTTATTGTGATCCAGTAGCGGAATCCCAAACTTCATACTCGCCATGCCAAAAATCAAATATCAACCTGAGTTGATTAAACCTCATTCTAATATGAAACCAAACCAGCCCTCGCATTAACTACAAAACCTTGGCTTTGATACCAATTTGTTAGATGCTGAACCAATTGTTAAGAATTACTTATCCTACAATACTATTTATTAGGAATTAAAGATGAAAAATAATAAGTCAATATGAAAAGTAATGATCACAAGAACAAAAAGATTTTATGTAAAACCCATGATAGGAAAACTACGGGTAGAGGCACAAAATTCACTTTATCAAAAATAAGAATTACAATATGTCTGATATCAACTAACATGTTGAATAGTTGGATAACTAAAATATGTATTGTACACCACATATATATAATATTAAGAATTCTTAACACAATAGGAGAATATAATACAAATAAGAGTCTAATATATAGTGAAGATCAACTATAATAATTCTAAAAAGTATTGGAGTGTTTGGAACAAATTGAATTCCAAAATAGATTTCAAATAAAATTCCCAAATAGTCATTCGACCCACCATATTCTAGCACTCTCATTTGCCAGTAGTCCACGGTGAGTCCTTATGTGTCAGTTACCTATTCATGCAATTTGTTATTTTTGTCCTTGAAACTGCATCTATAAAAATAGTCTACCATGAATAGCTATCTATTCTTAAAAAAATAAAAAATAAATAAATAAAATAATAATAATAATAATAGTTCTTTTTCCTTACATTGTAAGTGGGTGATTGTTAGGATGTGTTGAGATGCGGTCCACTCATCATAGTTCCACGGATGTTAGGGGACATACAGTACTATTGCTAGAGACGTTATTCTGCTTTTATTGCAGTAAAGTTCAATTGTTAAGCTTTGAGTTGTCTAAATAAGTTTGACGGTACTTTTCAAGAAATAAACTTCGTATTTCTTGGGTTCTATGTACTTGTGCTAGATGGAGAGGATCATAGAATGGTGTTCTTTTGTGCTTAGATTTTGAAGCAATATTACTGTTTTGAATGGATAATTTAGCTGATTATATTTGTACAGTTTTGGATGATTGTAGTCTATAGTCTGTACAATTTTGACTGTGAAGTTGGATGATTGTTTTGAAGCAATTTTCTTAACTTTTTTCTTTTCCAACAGGTTTTCTTCTCCAAATCGACCAACCCAATCATCAGACAGACAGTTGATTCAGTTGGATTAGAGCGCATAAATGGGTTGGGCTAGTTTGATTTTAGATCAACAGACTATGTTGAGTTGGGTATAGTTTAGGAAATAATCAAGCTGACTCAATCCAGCATAGGATTTTTTCTCTTTTGCAATGAGGTCCAGTCATGGTTACAAAGAAGAAGGCAACGTAACTGAGGTAACCTTTGCTGCCGACATTAAGATCCATAGGAATAGAAACTCCTATTTAGATCCTGCAATTTCTTTTTGGTATGCTGTCGCAGGCAACCAAAAATAAAACCTATACTCCTAAAGACATATATAGTAGTGCAAGTAAGGATCGTTCCCAGTAGAGTATCTAGCTTAATTTTATACTACATAACAAGGATTGGGGGTTTCTGAGTATAACGAAAATGATTTTTAAGGAAAGCAACTACTATCAATTCAAATTAAAGATCAAAATTAATCAAAAGAACAAACCTTGATCTAAGTTAACATTCACCATCAAAATTTTACAACCGATATATACTTTCAGTGTTCATCATTGGAATTATCTTCATATCTCTCCTTAATAGCAGTTAATTAGAAAACAAGTAATTCAATTAGCCCTACTTACTTATCAACCCAAGACAAGCGCTAAAGGTTTAATCTGGTGACAGCCATAAGAGTTAGAAAGATCGATGAAACTAAACAATATAATCACAAGCGGTTGTATTCAATTTAGTTAAGCGTTCTTCTCAAGATTTAACAATTTTTGACATAGCAAACCATCAAATCTTAGTTGTTTTACAAGTTAGATGAACCAAACAATTACGGATTTGATATCTAACCCAGCAATAGATTGCACAAATAATAAATTAGTAGGCTTCTTAGTAATTAAACGCAACAATCACGAAAATATATGCAGAAGAACAACCAATACTCAAAACATAAAATGAATGACGAAAACAATTTAGATCTCATAGTCTTGTTGATTCCTAGACTTTATTTTCCTTCGATTAAGTACAAAAGTTTAGCCACACATGAAAATTGAAGGAGTAAAAAAGAGAAGATGGGAAGGGAGGCGAGTCTTTCTTTTAGGACAGTCTAGGGTTTTAAAAGACGTTCCCGATTCATTTCCATAAGAGTTTGAATCAATTTCAGAAATCGGGATTTTCGAGTCGAAAACGTACTATGTGGCATCATAGTACAAACCAATGTGATTGCATAGTTCATGCAATTTCAGCTTTCAAAGTCTTTGAAATATCATATTCAACCACATAGGTATTTATGCTATGCAACCGCATAGCATTGATATCTTTCACAGTTGTTGCGTTTTAGTCATCAAATTTCGTTTTCACATTTCTTGTCTTCTTTTCTCATTTCTTCTCCTTTCAATACTTCATGGTTTCTATAAATTGGCCTTCAAATCTTTCACATCTTCATTTTGTCCTTGAGGTCATCTTTTGGCTATTTTCACTTTGGTCTCTGAACTTTTATTTTCTTCCATTTTAGTCCTTTTTCATTCGTTTCTTTTGCATTTCGCCATATTCATTCATTTGCATCCTAAGTCAAAATATAAGAATAATGAATACATTTAGACACCAAATAATTATAAAAGCATAAGCATTAAGGGAGGAAAATATGACATTTTACATTCCCATCACTTTTCCTTATTTGGTGAGAGAGTGTGTGTGTATCATTAATTTCCTTTCCTTTAGAATGCTCAAAGTTTTATCATTTAATTTCTTACAATGTATAATATATTTGCTATTGAAAAATAAAAATAAATTGAACACAATTACTTTGCTGTCATTTCTTTTACGTATATTATTTGTTGCATATAGATAGCCGTTTCAACTCATAAATTAGTAGAGGTAGGCATTTTCCTCATAATCAATGGAACTAGACCGGAACAAAATAGAATCGGCCAGATCGATTCCTCAACTAAATGGGTCATTTTTGGGATCATACATCAAGACTCTACCAATTTCAATTCCTTGTTTGATTTTGCCTTGAGAACCAGTAGCAAATTCGTTTATCACAAATTTCTTTTTGTTTTTTGCTTGCGCCAAAGTACAATAGATCTTTAAACACTAGACTCCAAAAATTATGTCGCCTTAAATTATTTTCCATACGCTTCTTCTTTTCTTTAAAGAATAATCAAAATTCTAATATAAATAATTTTTAAGTACTTTATAAATTCATAGCTTTAATGCAACTCAATAAGAATAATAATAATTTTTATTCAATATCATAAGAATTCCAATTTTTTAGTGTTGTTAAAGTGATCGACCATCAAAAAATCAAGTTCCTTGAATACTATTAAAGATATCATGTCGTTGTTATAAGAATTTTCTTAATAATTAATTTTAGATTCAAACTTTACGATTTATGCCATATTTCGTAATTTATCTCTATTCTGGCCCTTGTGAGCTAATCTTGCGGTTTGTAATGCGTTTATCTTTGCTGTCTTCTTTAATCGATATATATATATATATA